AAAAATTATATACGTACGAACACAATTATTTTACTAAAGAGACAATACAAAAACATTGATTACGACACACTGTATTCACAGAGCTTGACAAATGATCATAAATACGGTCAGAAAAGAAAACAGAAAAATAACAAAAACAAAGATGTGTAAGACATTGTTTGAAAAGGGCATATCAAAGTGCAAAGCAACAAATGAACGTCTGAAAAAAGTAACTTTCTCATTGGGATGCCACAAAAAATAATCAAGACATACGTATCTGGCCAGCATCATAATACTGAGGAAGGACACAAAAAATAAATTGTAATTCATATATACATTAGCTGTGATTCAGCGTATACATAAGTAAATGTAATAACAAGCAACATCACTTCAGTTGGATATATATTCTGTGTGAATTTTGCTGGCATTGAAACGTTGAATGTCTATATGGTACCTAATAAATATTTGTCAGTGCAAGAAAGACATTCTTCTTCTCTTTTATTTATTGTGAAAGGGTATTCCACACCGCGACGCCATTGGCTGTAGGTTTTCTGTATACCTTCTTTGTTTTCGGGGTGAGGTAGTTTCCTTTTACGTTGTTGCGGCTTTCATAACTGGAACATGAAAAATTTCATGAGGAAAATTGGTGCTAGTACTAAATTGGACCATAGGTGCTTTTTTATAATGTATTAGCGTGCTGAACGGCTAATACTTAGGTTTCGGAACAAGGGTAGCGTGTGTGTCTTATAGTCTGAATTTCTTATAAATGCGATTGCTCTTTCCTGAAGTTTTATACTGGTTTTAGGTAGGTGCGGTATGTTTTAGCCCATGTAGTCACGCTGTAGTTTAAGAGGCTATAGAATACGTTAAAGTGAATTATTTGTTAGGGCGGTAAACCAATGGTGTCTCGACATTCGTATAGAAGAAAACAGGCTTTACTCACTTTTTGTGGGCTTCAGCAAAACGATGTTTCCAGTTAAAACGTTCATCCAGGATAACGCCAAAGTGTTTTATAGAATGTACTCGTTGCAGTGCTGAATTATTTTGAATAAGTGTGCCTGCATGTTCATCTGGGGTTTAACGCAGTGAAGTAAATACATTATACTTGGTTTCTGTGTATTTGTTAGTCTATTTGATGAAAACCACGGGCGGATATGAACAAGCTCCGAGTTCGCACAAGCTATGGTATGGTGAAAAGAATCTTGACCGCATATTAAAGCTGTATCTTCAGTATACATATATATAGAAAAGTTTTTTACCACGCTGGGTAAGTCGTTGTTACACAGTGAGAAAAATATCGGTCCAAGAACTGAACCTTAAGGTATTCCTACAGTTGTTTCAAGAAACTGATTGGGTATCGGCAAGTTGTACTGTTTCTTTAAGGTTGCCTAGATAACTTTTAAAACACTCAAGGCACATTCTACGAAAGCCGTAGCATTCTATAGTTAATTTATTATATGCTGTGGTTTGCAGCATCTAAACTTTTTATAATAGTAACTATATCTACAACTGCCCAAATATCATCTAAGTGAAAATTGATAGGTTCGGAAAATGACAGAACAACTGTATTGGTTAACTCACCCTTTCTAAACCATTATTGAGAGAATGTAGGAATACCTTCGTGCTATAGTAAAGACATAATTCGTTCAACGATTAGTTTTTCCACCACAATATTCATGGTACTTCGAATGAAAATATGAAGGCAGTTTTCTGGTATGTCTTTGTCACTGGCCTTGTAAATCGGGATAATTTTTGACAACTTGAAAGGTCAGGTTACGTAGGCGTATAAAATGTTAAAATAAAGATTTTTTTCTAAAGGCACACAGAGAATGTCCATGCATTCTTTCAGCGATAAAGGAGATATATTGTCGAATTTGACTGAGAATTCAACTGGCATACCACCAGCTACTTCTACCATTTCACTAGTCATAATATCAGTAAACTTGAATCATTTAGGGTTATGAGGAGGGTATTTAATGTATTCTTCGCTGTCTACCGTAGCTGCCATTCGAGAACTGAAGGTTTGAAAATCGGTATTAAACATCAAAACTAGGGTATTTACTGATATTCGGAGAACCTCAATGTCTGGTACGGTCGTGTAGCTTGCAGAAGGTTGAAGAGTTGAATTTCGCTCGTCGAGGCGAAGAATCGAACGCGAGATTTGGCGCAGTGCGAAACTCCAGCGGCTGGGTGCGCGCTGTGAGTGTTCCTCTTTTATTGCGATACCTGTCTTCCCAGCGAGAGCCCCGCCCTTTTTCGAGATGATCCACCAGAAGACACTCAAAAGTGCAACCTATTTTTCTGTCCCAAAATTTCACTACAAGTACCACGTGTGCGAAAAGGAAGCTGGCCGACGACCTTACAGCTTCTCAATGTGAACGGGGCCTATAGTAGGCTTTCAGGTGCTCCTTGTTTACAATGTTGCGTCCTTTGCCCGAAGGTTGTTCGATGGGTTCAATCAAGTAGTTGACCGGTGATGTGCGTGCGGTGACACGGTAGGAGCCTTCGTATTTTGGCAGCAGGTTTGTCGAGAGGCCAGGCAGGCACAAAAAGCCATCATACGAGCGCTTCGGAGAGGAACATAGATTCCGTAGAGCCACAGCCATCACGAATAATCTTCTACCGCTCTTGCTCATTCGTCGTAAAGACCTTATCAAGCTCGCGACACTCTTCAGCAAGCGTGGTAGTGTGGGAAATAGGCGCGCCCTCGGGTGGATATCGCGTGTATAGAAGTATCGTGTCTATGATGTACGTGTGACGGGTGCCTTCTGTACAGTAAGAAAAAGAGCGAAAAACCGTAGTTCTCTGGGAGGCGGCTGTTCCGTGCGCAAGGAACGAAGGGCAGCATAACATCCAATGTGGTTGGCGGCGACGTGCATCGAAAGAATATCGAGGAGAGTGCGGGTAAAGCTTTCGGATAGTCCATTCGTCTGCGGAAGGTAAACAGTAGTATTTTTGTGAACAGAATGGCACTCTGTGAGGACGGCTTCGATGACTTCTGACGGGAAGACGTGGACTCAATCGCTGAGAAGCTCCATGGACCGTGATCCAACTCGCGGTTCAAATCGGTGCAGAAGAAGTGAGGCAACATCACACACAGTAATCGCAGGGTGGTTTTAAGATATCACGTTAGATTGTCTATAGTGATGATGTCCAAGCGGTTACCAGTCGACGTAAGAAGAATTGGTTCCTACAAATTGATACCCATGCGCCCAAACCAGGTGATAGGGCCAGATAACGACTGTAGGCCGGCTGGAGACATGCATGTTGATTGTTTGGAGGCACTGACAATCGAGGCAGCAGCGAAATAACTATAGTAGCTAGCGGCACATGTTTCGATAAAAGTAGCGTTAACGAATGCGATGTTATGTTTTCGATACCCCAAAGTCCGCGTAGCAGATCAGAGAGGAAGAACTTTCATACTTTGACTGCAGACTGCTAAGTACCATGAGCAGTAAATGCCGACCGCCGGCTTTCTAATGGCGTTGGTGCAAGAGGCCGTCACGCACGGCTAAATAGTGAACGTGACGACACAAGGCGCGGGTGGATGGTGTTGCGAATGAATCAGAGGGCAAGTCAATCAGCGGGGCCATTCAATGATCCTTGCACTGTTCTGTAGCTCTGTTCGATTGATAACAGAAACAGCAATGGAAGATACTAGTAGCTGAACTGGGGGCATTGTCGTCAGAAAGAGCGGGAGAAGCTTCCGTTGTGGTGGTACAGTGCGTGGATAATAATAATAATAATAATAATAATAATAATAATAACGTGTTAGTTTTTAACACCTCAAGACTATTATACATAGTGAACGGCTTCGTGATTTCGGATCATCTAGGGTTTGTTAACGTGCACACTTGTGCCTTTATCGCAAATACAGCCGCCGCCGCCAGCCTTCGATTCAGTAATTTCTTTAAAAAGCTGAAGTGTTTATTATTAGGCTGTAAATTAGGAAACGTTAACAACCTCCAGTGCTTGCACGTTAAAGAATCCCAGGGGGTCAAAATTTTCGGAGCCCTCCACTATGGCGTCTATCATAATCATATGGTGGTTTTGGGACGTTAAACCCCACAAATCAATCATCAGTCATCATCAACCTCCAGTGCTTGAAAATATTTCAGCTATAATACTAGTTTTCACTTCCATATAAAGCAGGCCATAACGATAAATAATAATGAAAACAGGCAATGATGCAAACGTAAGTACAAGGAATGTATTGAGAGTAGTACTGTAAGTGTGAAGAAAGAAATATGGACGAAAAGATAGCTTGCCACCACCAAGGGTTCGAACCTGCCACTTACGAATGAGTCTGATGCTATACCATGAAGGTATGGTAGTGTTCATCCATTCGTATACTCTATCGAGTATATAACCGCATTTAAACGTGGAAGCGTCAGTCAGTGCCGCCTGTAGCTATTACGGGAAGTGTGTAATGCTTGTTATTTTGCCTACTATCACGAAGCAGGAGATCCTGTTTTGGGCTGGTAGCTGAAGAATAATCCCTCGCAAACTACCTGAAGGTATCAAGCGTGCCAGAACAACACGGTCGCTCACAGTGAGGGCCTCATTTCTTTCATTTCGTTCCTTCACATTTACAGTTAAATTACTTACAATATCATCCCCTATACTCTTCTTTGCTTTTTTTCTGTTACTTTTCGTTGATATTGTACCGCACAAAGCCAACCAGCAATGAATTTGAGTTCACCACCAAAATATTTCTTAAGTGTAACTCAAATCAAGATGCATTGTATTCTTTAAAGTGATCCTGAAAACAGTGCTTAGCATTATTGATCATTTATGACATAGCACAATAAACTTGGTACCATATAAAGCGCCGTGCCTTGTATAAAGTCAACTTTGCGCAAATACATGTCTCTCTTCTTCTCAGCATGTACTCCTTTTCGTCCTCAAGTTCCCTGACTCGCAGCCATTGCTCGCGACAGCAGCGCACTAGACTGGTTGAACTGTGCTACCTGTAGTATTTACACGCGCAAGTTGGTACAGTTCTTGGTGTTATTTTGAAGGTTACAAGAAATTTCGAAAGTTGCAAGGCATTATGAAGGCTCCCATTCGTGACCGCGTGGTCTACTCACCAGTACCCAAGTGTGGAGATTCCCGAATGCTCTTTCTACACTTTGGCCAAAGAGCAACTGCTGGTGAACCCTGACAAACCATCACTGGTAAGCACACATTATTATTTTTCCAAGTTTCTATCATATATTGTTCTTTGCTATGGCTGTTTATGTAGGCACAGTTTACCAGGTCTCATTGCATAAGCAACAAGAAACGCACATGGCGAAGATGAAATGCTTTAACTTGGATGAAGCTCATGAAAACCATAACGTCGAAACTAGAAAAAACGAAACACCTTACTATGCTCCACAGTATACAACAGTGCCGTAGCCTCTGTGAGGTGTGTATTATAAACGTCTATAATAGGGCACCTATAATGCTGTGTCCTTGGCGCTTCTATGCTACACTTCCCTACGTAGCGGCTGCGGGGTGGTAAAACTAATAGCCAGGAAATCAGTCATGGTCCTTATATTTTCGTTATAGCTGTCAGGTTAGTCATGTTGTGGAAATGATTTGATATGTCGAGTGTAACGTCCCAAAACCACCATATGATTATGAGAGACGCCGTAGTGGAGGGCTCCAGAAATTTTGACCACCTGGAGTTCTTCAACGTGCATTCAAATCTGAGCACATGGGCCTGCAGCATTTTCGCCTCCATCGACAATGCAGCCGCTGCAGCCGGGATTCGATTCCGTGACCTGCGGGTCAGCAGCCGAGTACCTTAGCCACTAGACCACTGCGGCGGGGCCGGATCAGCTCTGTCTTAATTTTATTGTACTGATTGGTTGAGGTTTAACGACCATTACACTGAGCTCGTTTGTTCTGATCGATAAGGCTTAAAATAAGTGTGCATTATTTCAGGCGTAATTAGCAAGACCGTGATCAGTATGGACCTTAGCCACTAGACCACCATGGCGGGGCCTAGTTGTGGAAAACAAACCATTCATTTTAAGAAAAAAAACTTCACCACGATATAGCTAACGGTTTGAAGGAATGTCCAGGTAAACGACCTCTAAAGAGTAGGGCTACCATACCTGCATATAGTACAGACATAGCATTTCGAAACTGCAGAAGATGGTGTAACATCTTCATAAGATAACTGCGGTACTGAAATGACAAGAATACACACGAGCGCTGTCCCTGTTTCATCCTCGTGATTGAAAAAAGTGCTTATCATTATTAACATGTCACACCAAAGTGGCCACCACTCTACACTGGCTAAGAAGCTGTAAAGAAATTGCTCTGAATATGCAGGGACAATTATGGACATTGTGACTGTCATGCTTTTCACGAGTGCGGGAAAAATGTTTCATGAAAATGGAGGGGTATCAAATTTAAGGCGTATCATCAATACTATGACGTATTTTTAGAGAAGTAGCCGGAGTTACTAGTCATTGAGCAGCAAACTTTTGCAAAACAGGGCCATAGGACGTTTCGCGTTATGGTAGAGCACGCAATTTTTTTCTCTGCGTGCCTCTGCTCTTTCACGTCATGTAATTAGTCGTCCACCCAAAGAGAGTTTGTCACTGTCATCTGAAGAAAAAAGTGGGTCACGAAATTTCAATCGTTCTTGCACACCAAGGCGCCCAATGTTGATAGCGACCACAATACTTTGTTGTAAATCACTATTCTGAAACATTCGTCAGGTCCCTTAGCTTACTGCAGTTTATGGATGCAGGAATTGAAAATAATAGCGGTCTATTAGTGACGAGAAAAAAATTGGCAGATCCCACGTACAGTGGGAATTGATGATATGCGAAGCACGAATAAAAATTTTGATATATGTCACTTTAAACCACAGCGTTACGACGTGGAGGTAAATAAATGGAGCCGTACAAGACTTCCGTGTCGTGATTATATTGTTTGGTTGTGTCGTTTACCTTCGTGATCTATTCACGTCACGTGATACCAAATTTAGTATATGTGGAGCTAGCGAAACGGCCGCGAACACGCTATGAGCGTGGTAGGTTGTCAAGTTCTTACATGACACGCGTGTCAAGATTATAATGTTAGCACCCGCCATCTATTTTGTCATTCAATGACGTCACGCAACAACAAATTTGGCATATGTGGAGCTACGGAAAACGGCTGCGAACGTGTCATGAAGGTTTCAATATACTCTAATGTATAGCGTTGACGCGCGCGGACGCTGGGCACAGCGACGCTACGTTAGCAAAACGCGCGCACTCTATAGTCTGACGCCAGGCGCGACAAGCGTCCATCGGCGCGGCCCGATGGTAACCAGCGCAAACTGCGACATGCTGCATTTATTTCCGATGCGTTACCCAGACAACACCCGTCTCGGTCTGTTCGTGATGAAGCAACGCCGGATGCGCTGAAACGCACATGCTTTAAAGCAGCGCAGTGCGATATGCACCTGCAAGCATATGGCAAGACCAAGGAGGATTTAAAAAAAATGCTGGAGTAGAAATGACTGCCCAGGAGGGAAGCCGTTCCACTGGCAAGATGACGGCTGTGGCGGCCGTCCTACTAGGGGCATGATAAATTATCACCGTTCAGCGAAAAACGAAGCGTTAGCTTCGCACGCCCAACAAGCCTAATGTAGGAACTTTTTCTGGTCACATAGTGCTCCAAGTGCGTCCTAGAGTTACTAGTTTTTCCTTAGTGATCCTCTAATTGGAAGCAAAGTTCTTGAAGATTCAGTCATTTATGCTCGTTTCTGTGTGTTATTTCGTCGGGAACAACAATCTTTTAACATAAAACTAACGTAGCATTTACATAACATATAAAGCCACTTGATCTTTAAGTGGGCAACATCAGAAAAGAGCATGTTTCCGCCATCTTGGCAGTGGCAAAACATGGCTTCACTTCTGCTGACAAGGCATTGCTGGAGCTTCCACTCCAGCAGTTTTTCTTTATTCTTTCTTGGGCAGGATCGGCACCTGGTGCGGCAACGCTGGCGGGACGCGACGAAATGAACGCCGGCGAGCACGTGCACCGCGTCACGTTGAAATGTATTGGCGCCTTGACTGTGGCATGTAGTCATGTTTCACACGACAAGCATCCCATGATTATCATGTTTGCACCAGGGCACATACCTTCGTGATGCATTGGCGTCGCGCAATTTGGCATATGTGAAGCTAGCGACCCGGCTGTGAGCGCATCATGAGCGTAGCATGTAGTCATGTTGTTACATGACAAGCATGTCGTGATTATCATGTTCGCATGTGTCATTTACCAAGGTCGTCCATTTGCGTCCCGTAATGCCAGTTTTGGTACATGTGAAGCTAGCAAAACGGCCGCTAGCGCATCATGAGCGTGGCATGTAGTCATGTTGTTACATGACATGCATCTCATGGTTATCATGTTCGCACCAGTATCATACCTTCGTCATCCATTCACGTCCCGTAATACCCAATTTGGTTTAAGGAAGCTAGCGAAACGGCCGCCAGCGCATGAGCGTGGCATGTAGTCATGTTGTTACATGACATATGCATCTCACGAGTATCATGTTTGCACCAGTCACATACCTTCGTCATCCATTAACGTACTTTAATACCAAATTCGGTATATGTGACACTAGCGAAACGGCCACGAGCGCATCATGAGCGTGGCATGTAGTGAGTTGTTACATGGCACGCGTGTCATGATTTTCATGTTAGGGTCTGTAGCTTGTCTTTGCCATGCAATCATGTCATACCATGCCAGTTTTGCAACATGCCATGTGAACGAAACCACCGCAAGAGTTGCAGGACTGTGAAATGTTAATCATGACTCTCATGACATACATATCATGATTTTCATGTTATGACCACTCAAATATGTTCTTCATACAGTCATGTTATGCCATACCAAGTTTGGTATTAATGTCATTATCGAAACGGCCAATTGAGCTAAAAGTCGTAGGCGGCTAGATAGATAGACACGCTCAAAGTCCCCGAAGTTCGCTAAGAAATGCTTCGCATTTAATACAGCAAAGTATATGTCATTAAAAAGGTGATGATATCTTATGTTACATTACGAGAAATCGTTATTGAGCAAGTGCAATAAATGAAGACCACTCCCACGCACATGACCATTGAAAATAGTGTGAAGGCATGTTCGTTTGGGTAACGAAATCTTTTGTTCATTTCCGGGTGCTAGGAACAAGAATTAAATTGGTAATTCTGACAGTTTCCTTACTGATAGAGTTAGAGATTGAGCTTTTCATAGGGAACAGTGGATTTGCAATATATAATTCTGGGAGATAAGGCATCACATGCTATTCAGGATTGCTTATAACTTGCCTCTTAAGTAGTTCTAATGAGGTGACCAGACTGCTTGATGTTACTGTACTTGATCTTAGTGCACTTGAGAAGACACACCAAAAGCAATTTGTACCTTGTCTCAGGACGGCTTTAAGCGCTCACATAGTAGAGTACCCTGTTCTCTAAATCGTTACCCCCTTTTTCTAAGCCACCCCCCCCCCCCTTGGCCACGGGACGGCTTTATGGTCTCCCCTAGTAGAGTACTAAGTACTTAAAATCGTTAATAATTTTTCAGTAAACACAAATATATCGCCAATGTGTTCTCCATGTGTACTTATGCATCTAAGTTCAGTATTACCAATACACGAAAGACTTGTTAGGCTGGCTCAACAATTCAAACATCGAACAGCACTGCCTGAAATGTATATTACACCAATCCGCACCAGTTGCCAGCGTATCCATATTAGGAGAATCAACATAACCTCTCAATTGCTGAAGGTATGGTAAATAAGCATTCATAGAAGGGGGCGGTTGGGACAGTAAAAATAGTAGTATTTCTTGATTTATTTTTGGTGACGTAGAACCAGTCAAAATCCTGGCCATTGCAGCCGGGCATCCATAAGACACAATAGATATATTTATTTTTTAAAGTGAAAATATGTGACTGCAAATTGTATATAATACTACATGGAGTCTATGGTAACGTAACTATCTCTATTGCGAAACCCAGCGCCAGTGGGTACCAGGGTCCAGTGCCATGCCGGATTATGAGCAAAGTATCGCGCTGGTACTTGAACGCTGGAGCGGCATGTTACTGCGAGACACTCGGTACAAAGCGCAAAACGTCTTTTAAGAATTAAAACGGGGGTAACTAATCGCCACAAGTAAGTATTATAGTA